AATCACAATACTATATAACTGACCTGACAAGGGACAGCCCTGCCGTATACCTCTCTGTACAGGCACCTTCACACTCAAAGCCCCACCCACTTTTACCATGACAGATGCGTCAGCATACAAAAGCTTAAGCCAAGTTACAACCTTATCCCCACATCCAAATGCTGTCAAAGTTTTAAAAAGATAACCATGATCTACTCTGTCAAAAGCTTTTTCTTGATCAAGTGATAAAATCCCTAATCTATCATTATTCATTAAACTCAAATCAATTACATCCCTCAATAAAAACAAATTATCCATAATCGTTCTCTCTGGTACACAATATGTTTGATCTTTACAGATCACAGAATCTAAATAACATTTCAATCTATTAGCAAGACACTTTGATAGTATTTTATAGTCCACACAGAGCAGTGAAACAGGTCTCCAGTTCTTTAAAAGACCTAGATCTCCCTTCTTCGGTAGCAGGGACAAAACTGCCCTCCGACAACTAGTAGGGAGCAAACCAGTCTTCAAGCATTCCAGTATCACCTCATAAAAATCCTGTCCCAGATCTGTCCAAAAATGTTGATAAAATTCAGCTGGTAATCCATCCACCCGGGGATCGACCAGCAGACAGTTGCTTCACCGCCGCTGTAAGTTCTTCAACCGTAATATCAGCATCCAGCTTCTTCCTCTGACCTGGACTCAACTATGGAAGATCTTGAAGAAGGTCTGCAGCGCTGTCAGAGTCACAGTCCTTAGCACCATACAGTTCAGCATAATACTGCACCGCCAGCCTCCTCATCTTAGCAGGGTCGGACGTCAAGGTCCCATTGGTGCACCTTAAAAAAGTCATCTGCTTCTGTTGTACAGTCTTTCTTTCTGGATTAAAAAAATAAGCACTAGGTGCATCAATGTCCTTAATCAAGCTAATCCTTGCACGTATTAAAGCCCCTTTCACCTGCTCTTGTAGATAGAATCCCAACTCTCGTTTTTTTTCTGCTAGCTCCCTATGAAGCCCTATTCTGCTGTTTCCGATTATTTGTTCTCAGGTTCTCAATGTCTTGCTGCAATTTCTTTACAGCAGAGCGTGCTGATGAGGCAGTATGTGCTGAGTAACTCTGGCAGAAAAGTCTAATCTGTACCTTCCCTACATCCCACCACTGACTCAAGTTTTCAAAAGAGTGCTTCTGAGCTTTCCACTTACACCAAAAAAGTGCAAATTTATCACAAAAAACACTGTCTTGCAATAATTTAACATTAAAATGTCAGTAGCAATTTGCATGTGTTATAGCCGTTACACTTATTTCCACAGTAACCATATGATGATCGGAAAACCCCACAGGAATTACCCCTGCTCTCACCACCCTGTTGTTAAAACCTTTGCTTACATAAAACCTGTCCAACCTAGCCCCACACACTCTAGAATCACCTACCTTTAACCATGTGTACTGCCTCACTCCCTCATTTTTATCTCTCCATACATCCATTAAACCACATTCACAGACTAAACTTGCAAGTTTAATACTAGACTGACTATGTGGTACCTCCCCATTCCTATCAATCGTGAACTGCGTAGTGCAGTTCCAGTCTCCTCCCATTACCACACACATGTCTGCATTACTATATCCTGAAAGAGCATGGTGCAAATTTGAGAAAACCTCTTAACGCTCAGTGCCCTTAGTCGGTGCATATACATTCACAAAAAGAAAGGAAAACCCACTGATCTCAGCTTTGACTAAAAGCACCCTCCCCTTCACAAGTTCTGTAGTTGACTGCAAAGTCACATCTAATGAAGTAGAGAACAGCACAGCTACCCCTGCACTAGAGTTAGTCCCATGACTAAGAGTATAGGAGCCCTTCCACCATATTCCCCAGTCAGTTTGATTTTCACTATCAGAAAGGGTTTCTTGTAGAAAAATTATATCAATTTTCCTAATCCTAATCATCTCTGAAAGCATCTCTAACTTGTTCCTATCCCTACCCCCATTCATGTTTAAAGAGCCCACTCTGAGAAGCTCCATACAAATAGAGGTAAAGAGGAAGGACAGACACAGAAAAAAGACCAGCGTTAAGAAGTACACCTTGTGCAGTGTGTGCATTTTATTTTTACAGTGAAACAGGGCCTTTACTCCTCCGCAATTTAGTTAAGAACTTTTTCAGCCGAAACCTCTTTTTCTCACTCAAGGCATCATATCCAACATTCCGCTGAATTTGCACTACTGAAGAGACAAATTTGTCAACATCCGGGAAAAAATCCTTTACATCAACCGCCCTACCAAAAGTCTCATCCAAGAAAGAGTTTATTTCCTGGAGAGAGTAAAGATCAGCTTCTTCTGGCTGAGATCCAAATTCAGAAATTCCAGAAAGCACCGAGCATGTATCCTCATCACCCAATTCCTCTTCACCAGCTGTGACGTCTTCTACAGGGGCGTCTATTATAATCCCCTCCTGCAAAACTCCCCGAGCTAAGCTCACCTGTATCTCTCCATCTCCCATCTCTGAAACCCCCTGTTTACTA